TCCCCAGCTGCTCAGTAGCATCTCCCCCTAAACCCTGAACCGCCTACACGCCCTAAACCCGAAACCCTAAACCCTAAACCCTAAACCCTAAACCCTAAACCCTAAACCCTAAACCCTAAACCTTTCAAGCAAGTAGTAGGCACGCACATGTAGATAAAATACGGCCCCCCCCACTTGAAGCCCTCGAATGAAGTCATCTCCAACGCCCTACAACCCTGAAGGGCGGCTTATACGGTTCAGCACCTCAGCCCCCTCCCCCCCCCCCCCCCTTTAGGGTTTAGGGTTTAGGGTTTGGGGTTTAGGGTGTAGGGGTTAAAAGCCCAAACCCTAAAGCCTAAACTCGAAGACCCCGAAGTCCTTGGTGGCCCAGTGGTACCCTTTCGCCCTTTTTGTTGGGTTTCAAGGTTCCCTCATGGGTACCCTTGTCATCATGTGGTCACTGGGCTGCCGAGAGTCTTCACTCTTTCAACCCTCCAACCACTTGCACCCTAAACCCTCAACCCTAAACCCTAAAAACGCCCAAACCTCGCACTCTGAGAGGCTCGGGGACGACCCTGCGTGCCCGACAGACTGCGTTTCGGCTTGTGGTTGGTATGAGGGTCTCGGGTCTCTAGGGCTTTGGGGAAGCACGAAGCCCTAATCTGTAAACCTTAAACCCTAAACCGTAAACCCCAAACCCCTAAACCCTAAACCTTTAGGGTTCTGGTTTGCATTGAACCGCGATTTTCCAGTGTCAGGAATTTGGAACTGCTGGTTGAAGGCCAGCAGGCTAGAGGGCCTTGGGCCTTTGGAACAGCTGAGGTGTTAAATGCAGCAGTATTGGCGAGCCGCTTGGCGGCAAAGCCCTAATTGCACCCTAAACTCTGATCCCGAAACCCTAAACCCTAAACCCTAAACCCTAAACCCTAAACCCTAAACCCTAAACCCTGGACCTGCAGGTGCCTTCAGTGTACGAACTCGAAGTATCTGAACCCGCTGGTTTGGACCTGCGAAGAGATCTGTCCCATGGGCTTCTACCCGGAGGGTACAGGCGCCGGTAGGGTTTAGGGTTTAGGGTTTAGGGTTTAGGTTTTTAGGGTTCAGGGTTTGGGGTTCAGGGTTTTGGGTCTAGGGTTTAGGGTTTTGGGTTTCAATTTACCACAACGTTTCATAGGGTGGAACTTTAAGTATTCGAGGGTAGGGGGTCTTAATTCGGAGTTAGCACTTACCTGCAATTACCACTGGACGTAGGGCCCTAAACCCTAACTGGTCCTGCAGGTGCCTCGAATCGTACCTGCACTCCCTGCGCCGCGGATTGCGCCAAGTGCAACTCCGCCAGCGAATGCGCGGCTTGGCGCACGACTTGCAGGGTGCCTTGGGGTTTAGGGTTTAGGGTTCAGGGTTTAAGGGTTTAGGGTTGGGGGTTGGGGGTTGGGGGTTGGGGTTTGGGGGATGGTTGCTAAGGTTTTTAGGGTCTTTATGGTTCGATGTTCTGGGAAGAACTCGCAGGTCAAGCCGGCTTCCCCTAATTGCCCAGGCCTGTTTAGCATTCAATGGGGTCTAGGGCATAGGGTTTAGGTTTCATAATCGGGTTTAGGGCTTAGGTTTAGGGTTTAGGGTTTAGGGTTTAGGGTGTAGGGTTTAGGGTTTAGGGTTTAGGGTTTAAGGTTTAGGGTTTAGGGAAAGAAGGCCTAGATGCCTTGAAGTCGGGTGGTTTTTTTGGGTTTCGGGTTTAGGGTTAGGGTTCAGGGTTAGGTTATGGGCAGCCCATGTGGGTTTTGGAACGTCGTGGCCTGAGCCGTAAAGCCTAAGCCCTACGCAGGGGTAGGTTTGGACAGAATTTGTCGTCTGTCTTGCCCTTTTGTTTTATATGTTCCTTAGAACGCCACACAGAATCTTTTAATTCCTAGGTAGGATAAAGGGGACCCTTAAAAGGGAGCCCTTCTGAACCCTCTTCTGGCTCTCTTAAAGAGGGACCCTATTGAGAGGGTCTATATCCCCAAGGGTCCCCCTAATCCTATCCCCTATTATTAGGGTTTAGGGTTTAGGGTTTAGGGTTTAGGGTTTAGGGTATAGGGCCCCCAAACTTTTGGGGTAAGCACCTCTTGAGTTGCTCGTAATGCTGTGACTCATTGCTAGCATGGGAACCTTACGGTTGTCGAAGAGCTTGAGAATGATTACATGCCGGCTCATTGAGGTTAGGGTTTAGGGTTTAGGGTTTAGGGTTTAGGGTTTAGGGTTTAGGGTTTAGGGTTTAGGGTTTAGGGTTTAGGGTTTAGGGTTTAGGGTTCACTGCACAGGGTTTCGGCTTCTGTGAGCCCCGCAGGGGGCAGAGAACGTCTAGGGATCCTGCCTTGGACCCTTAAGGTTGTACCCCTGGGTTTTTGGGGTCCCATTTTTAGGAAGGGAATATAAGCGAAGTACTAGGCGGCTCCTTCAGGGGTACAACCTTAGGGGTACGAGTCTTCATCCCATACACCCTAAACCCTAAACACTATTCCGCGTGGTGATCCTACAGGATCCTTCATTTGCCAGCCCAGGCCCTTAGAGTTTTGCTAGTCTGAGGCGTATATGCAGGCTTGTTTGCCATAGCGTGCTTAAGTTTTATAGTATAGCTTGGCTACTCCAGCCCTAAACCCTACACCAGAAACTACCTACACTTTCACTTATAGGAAACTTGATGTTAGGGTTTAGGGTTTAGGGTTCAGGGTTTAGGGTTTAGGGTTAAGGGTTTAGGGTTTAGGTAGCCGGATCTCTTCGGACATAAAAGTTTGACCGTGCTCGGGTTTAGGGTTTAGGGTCTAGGGTTTAGGGTGGTTCGGGTTAAGGTGTTTGGGTGTAGGGTACCATCCAGCACCCGTGCGAGGTTCAATGCAAGAACAGCAAGTATTTATCACCCGCAGGACGCCGCATGCTTCTAAACCCTAAACCCTAAACCCTAACCCCTAAACGGCAAGCGGCCTTGTGCTGCTCGGAACTCTGCCTCGTTGCTTTTGCGAAACCTCCAAAAACATCTAACCCATTTGAGGCACGGTTTAGATTCCTTGTATCCCCAAAAGGACACCAAGTATATACACTCACCAACTTTACAAAAGGAACTTTATATACACCCACACAAAAAGAGTAGTGTAAACCCTGCTTCATTTGGGGGTTGAGGGCTCTTTAGGGTTTCGGGTCGTGGGCGCGGCTTCTCAGCACCTTTTCGGGTTGCACTTCGTAGGGAAAACACCCCATGATTAAGTTTATTTAGGGATAATTCAGCCGAATTAAGGTTATTCAAGAAAGGAATTGAGGGGGGGGGGGGGTAGTAGGGAAACCCATGACACCAAACCAGCAAGCCCCACGCTAAGCCCCAAGGCCCAAAGCCTTCTCAATCTGGGTGGAGGGTTTAGGGTTGAGGGTTGAGGGTTGAGGGTTTAGGGGTTCATAGGGGTCTAAGGTAGAGGGTTAAATCCTATAGCCCTAGAAGACCTAGAACCACCCCCCCCCCCCCCCCCCTCTTTTGAACACGTCCAAAACCCCAAGGCCTGCAGAACCCCACTGACAACTCCATAAACCCTTGGGCTCTACCGTGCTGTGAAGCTAAAGCCCTCTGGGTTTTGGGTTTTGGGCTTAGGGCTTAGGGTTCAGGGTTTAGGGCAGTGGAAGGAGCTTGCGGCTTTAGCTGCCCACCGGGATATCAGAAGCATGGCGATGACGTCACAGGCCTGTAGACTTGGGTTTATAGGGTGTAGGGTTTTTTTGTACTAATGGGAGTTATTCTCAGGGTAGGGGTATCCGTACATAGACTCTAGACAGAGAGAGAGACAGGGAGAGGGAGAGGGAGAGGGAGAGGGAGAGGGAGAGGGAGAGGGAGAGAGAGAGAAAAAAACAATAGAACAACAAGAAAGACAGAAAGATAGATATAGAGAGAGAGAAGAGAAGTAGCACCTTGCTGTAGTAGGATGACCCCGAAAAGAATCAGCCCTCAATTCCGTTCAGGGATTGGGGCTGTGGAGGTTTTGGGTTTAGGGCTGTGGAGGCCGTAGGGAAGTATAAGCCCCATAAGGCCAAGACCCAAAATCCAGTGGGACTGTGGCCCATAGTCGGTTTAGGGTTTGGGGTTTGAGGTTTAGGGTTTAGGGTTTAGGGTTTAGGGTTTAGGGTTACGCATACAAGGACTTATGTGTGCTGGGTGGAGGTGCGTTATTGCCTTTTTGCTCGGGAGGGGTGGGTATAGGACGCCGGAAAGAGAGGTCGGCGCCTCCGCCCCCACCAAGGTCAAGGGCAGACTCTAAGGTCCTAAACCCGAAACCCTTGACTCTAAACCCTAATGAAACCCTGAACCCTAAACCCTAAACCCTAAACCCTAAACCCTAAACCCTAAACCCTAAACCTGCTAGACCTAGACTCTAAGCCCTGAGACCCTAAACCCTAAAGGTGGCACTTGCTGGCCCTGCCCCCCGCGCTGCCGGGCGTGCACGGATTGGTACACCTGCGACGTCTGTGAGACAGGTGGGAGTTTAGGGTTTAGGGTTTAGGGTTTAGGGTTTAGGGTTTAGGGTTTAGGGTTTAGGGACTTCGGGCTTTAAGAGTTCAGGCTTGGCGTTGCAAGCTATGTACTGTAGGGTTTAGGGTTTAGGGTTTAGGGTTTCGGGTTTTGGGGTTTGGGGTTTGGGGTTTTCCGAAAATAGGGGTACAGTACCTTATTGTGGACCTTACTACAAGGGAATCCTACTATGTGGGTCTGTATTAGGGGTCCCCTATTATCGTAACCCCCCGTTTGAGGTTCACGAAGTCTTGTGTGTCTTGGTTTGTGCCGCAGGGACCGACGCGATGCTTAGCCCTTGAATGCAAGTAGCAGGTTTTGAATGTAGAGTTAGGGGTTGGGTTTAGGGCTCAGGTCTTTCAGTTGCCCAAAACGATAAGCCTCGGAAGACGAAGCACCGGGCATCCAGATCAATTCAGAGCTCTTTGGCTCGAAAGAAATCGAGCAGAGCTAGTGGAGACCGGCGCATCGTTTGCGCTACGCTGCAGGCGTGATGATGCCTGCTCTGGCAGAGCCAGGGTGTGGCGACGCAAACACGGTCGTCTACAAGAACAGCCACTCGGCCCCCTTGGGATTTTGCGTTTGATATTTTACCCTCATTGGGTTCAAGAGGATGCATAAGATTTTTCAGAGGGTTCTGAAAGGGTCATCCTAGGCTACATCCAAGTCATCCCGCTGGATACGAATGAGCGCAAAGGACTTCACAACGCTGGGAGGCAGCGTTCGGCCAGTGTGCCTGCCCTCCGAAGGGAAATGAGGCAGAGCGTCAGAGACCTGGCAGATGAGCCTGGAATGTTCCAGATCGATGGCCGCCGAATCCCAAACAACGAGGATGATAGTTGGGATGAGGATGCTTCTAGCTACGGGTCCGAGCTTTCCCAGTTCCTTGGCTAATAGTTGAAGCTTACATGTGTTGGGTTTTACGATTCTCTCGCTGGGGACTATTGCAGCGCATCGGCTGCGCTTCAAGCTGTCTGGGGTTTCTTTTGTAGGAAGACTGCGCCCTTTCTTCTTGTGTTTTTGAAGAAGTAAGGTCTCCGAGCGAGATTGAGGTTGAGGTTGTCGTTGTACGTTACGTACGTACACCAAATGGTCGGATTGTCGCAGTTCCCGCGAATGAGGAGATGCAGCGTGAAGCTCAGGGATGAGATGACCCAGTATTTCCAGAAATTAAGAGGTCCGCGATCAGGGCTTGGTAGCCCACTGGTACCTTTTACCCTAAACCCTAAACCCTAAACCCTAAACCCTAAGCCCTAAGCCCTAAGCCCTAAACCCTGGTACCCTTGTTACAGCATGGTTGCTGGGCTACCAAACAGGGCTCCCTCAGTGAAATTTCCCGTGAGTCTAAGGGTAGTTATATGGTCCCTTACTATACTAACTGTAGTTCAGGGGCTTAGAACCTAATTTTAGGATCCTTAAAACCCAATTTAGGGTTCTTATAACTCCACTTGTAACTAGGGGGCGCCTCCTTGTATGGTCCCTTAGCATATAGTCCCTTACCTTCTTTTACGGCGTCTGAAGTATGGGCCCTTGGGTTTTATAGTGTAGATACGGGGTATCTAAGGGTTTAGGGTTTAGGGTTTAGGGTTTAGGGTCGTTCCCTTTGGAGAGCACGCACGAAGGGACCATGTAACTGCCCTTAAAGTGAGCCGGGACCACCGCTGCGCACGCAGGGAATCCTAGAAAGTCGTAGAAGACTTGGCCGTAGAGGCTGGCACTTCTGCTAGAAAGCTGAAATTGGCGGTGATTGGCGACCGCCTGAGGTGGCCTGTCTATTCTTTTGTTGAGCCAGGAATGTCTTTAATTAGGGTTTAGGGCTTAAGGTTTAGGGACTAGGGTTTAGAGTTTAGGACACAAGTAAGTGCAGAATTGCGTACGTATACTTACATACTTACATGCATACAAACGTACATACTTACATACGTACTTGCGTGCAGAGGTACAGACCGATCTACATGAATCCATACACAGTTTCACACACGCCTTCACACATCTACATTCATATGCTGATTATATACAGATCTGTAAATTTCATATGCTATGCCAGCTATATGTTCTTTGTCTTTCCTGCATTCCCTTTTTTGGTGCATGGACACCTTAAACCCTAGACCTGAACCCTAAATCCTAAACCCTAAACCCTAGATTCTTTTTTCTATGTGACATCCAGTGGGATGAGAGGCCCCCTCGACCACGCCAAAAGCGCTTAGCACAGCCGAGTTTTCTTACGTGGGAGAGCGGTGCTGCGGATACGTTGCCGCAGGCAGAGCGCGGTTTAGGGTTTAGGGTTTAGGGTTTAGGGCTAGAAATCTTTGACTCCCGTTTTCGGGTTGGCTCTCTCAGATGCAGCCGTTTGGAACTTGCAGTTGCAAGGAAAAGGACGACGACTGCGCTGTGGGGAAGGCACCCTAAGGGTCAGAACAAAGAACCTAGAGTTTAGGGTTTAAGGTATAGGGTTTACTCGGCGATAGTGTTTAGGGTTTAGGGTTTAGGGTTTAGGGTTTAGGGTTTAGGGTGTAGGGTGTAGGGTGTAGGGTGTAGGGCGTAGGATAGGGTGCAGGGTGTAGGGTGTAGGGTTCAGGGTAGGGTGTCCATGTACCTAAACGTACCCAATTACAACTGTACTTTTCTTGGTTTTGGAGTACTTTTCTTAAAAAAAATTGGTTTTGTGTGCAAGAAGACTAGGACCGGGAGTAGGCCCTTTTCCCCTTTTTTTAGGGTTGGAGTTCCCTTATAATCCCCTTAACACCAAGAAGGGCACCCCTTCTTATTCCTAAGTCACTCCCGGGTCTAGAAAAAATCTGCTTACAGTAAACCCCAGAAAGTTGGAACATGGTCTAAGGATGATTAGGGTTTAGGGTTTAGGGCTTAGGGTTTAGGGTGTAGGGTTTAGGGTTTAGGGTTTAGGGTTGGGATTCCCTTTAGTATGCCTTTTTGGGTTGTGGGGATAAGGATGTTCCAATTTTTTGGAGTTTTCTGTATACCTAAACAGTATACATTTTTCACAGGGTTTCTCCAAAGTAGGGTTCTAACCCACTTGTGGGCCCCTTAAGTGCCCTAATGTGGTTGTACTTGGGTTGTAGTTAAGTACGGACATCATTGGGAGATGAGGTACCATGAACCTCCAAGCAAGGGGTCCATGTACCTAAGTAAGGAACACTTGGGCCTTACAGTACCTCCTTTCTAGGGAATTTGTGGCCCAAGAGTATGATAAATGAGGTACGTGCACACAAAGGGGCACTTGACAGGAGGCTTGGAATGTAGAGTTCGGGTAGGGTTTAGGGCTTTGCTTAGGGGATGTTTGGGTCGGAAAGGCTTTGAGAAAGCGTTGAGGTGTAGATTGTTGATGATATTGATACTATAGGGGTTTATGGGGATGTACCCCCTTCTACTGACAGTACCCCCTACTGTAATCCCTATTCAGGAGTCGTAGAAAAAGGGGGAACACCCCAACCCTAAACCCCAAACCCCAAACCCCAAACCCTAAACCGTAAACCCCAGAAACATCCAAGAGGGTCTAAGCAGTCGGGTTCAGGCTCCGACGATTTGTGCTCACCCGACAATTGGATCTAAGAGCAGAACCTGCAAGCTTGGCTTCGGGTTTGGGTTTAGGGTTTAGGGTTTATGGTTTAGGGTATGGGGTTTAGGGTTTTGGGCTTAGGGTTTAGGACCCCTAAAAGAGCCCATGGGCTTTGGGGTTTGGTGTCTGCGGTTGATGGGTGCAACTTTTTGGGTCTTCGTGTTCAGGGCAATGAGGGCCTGGTTCAGTTAATCATACAATACCATCTAATATAGCATCATATGGAAAATGTTGAAATTAACTACTATTTGCTTCAGAACCACCCCCCAAAAAAGGAAACACACCTATATATGATTCAGCCCCGACGGGCCTACCCCCCCCCCCCCTCCCCGCACCCCACCCCACCCCCCCCATACCCACCCCCCCCCCCTTACATTTTCCCCCCTCCCCCACCCCACACCCTCCACCCACTCCACCCCCCACAACACCACCCACCCACACACCCCCCCCCCTCCCACCACCCCCCCCAAACCACCACCAACCTATCCCCCCCACCCCACCCCCCCCCTTCACCCCAACCCCCAAACACACCCCCCACTTACCCCCACCCCCCCCCTACCCCCCCCCCCCCCCCTAACCCCCCCCCCCACCCTACCCACCCACCCTACCACACCCCACCACGATACCCCCACCACCCCTACACCCCCCCCCCCTACGCCCACCCCCTACACCCACCCCCCCCTACCCACACACCCCCCCCCCCCCCCCCCCAATGGTACCCCCCCCCCCCTGTGGTGTGGTTGGGGGTTGGTTTTAGGGTTTTAGGGTTTAGGGTTTAGGGTTTTAGGGTTTTAGGGTTTTAGGGTTTAGGGTTTAGGGTTTACGGTTTAGGGTTTTAGGGTTTAGGGTTTAGGGTTTAGGGTTTAGGGTTTTCCCCGCGGATGGGGTACTAAGATGTTCCCCCCCCCCTGTGGTGTGGTTGGGGTTGGTTTTAGGGTTAGGGTTTAGGGTTCAAGGTTTTAGGGTTTAGGGTTTAAGGTTTAAGACTTAAGGTTTAGGGTTTAGGGTTAGGGTTTAGGTTTTAGGGTTTAGGGTTTAGGGTTTAGGGTTTAGGGGTTTAGGGGTTTAGGGTTTAGGGTTTAGGGACCGTAGAGTAGACTTGGGGGGGGGGGGGATACCATGGGGGGGGGGGGGGGGCCCGGACGCTCGACGCTGAACCATATATATATATATATTCCTGTTTATCAGGGCAATGTAGGGAAGATTATCTTTTTGTTGGGGTTCTTAAGCAAGTAGTGGTTCATGTATTCGTGTAAGTTCCACGTCTCTCGCCACCCATGCTGATTCCGGCGTTCAAAAAGATCTGCTTCTGCGCATTTTGTGAGGCGTCCATCGCCCTAAACCCTAAACCCTAAACCCTAAACCCTAAACCCTAAACCCTAAACCCTAAACCCTAAACCCTGAACCCTGAACCCCTCAACTCAGAAGCATGTTTTAGGGCCACTGAACGAAGGTGCTTACCTGTTGCCAAACCGCACCTGCCTCGAACAGTGCGACGACGGCCACCGAGCTGCCAGTGGGCAGGGTTTAGTGTTTAGGGTTTAGGGTTTAGGGTTTAGGGTCGATTGGGTACCCTAAGCCTCAAACCCTCAAACCCAACATCCCAAAACCCTAAAGCCCTAAACCCTAAAACCCTAAAACCCTAAAACCCTACACCCTAAGCCCCAAACCCCTAATGCCCTACAGTCCAAAAGCCCAGAAGCCCAAAAGCCCAAAAACCCTACACCCGAAGGCCCGAAAGCCCTACAACCCTGAACCCTAAACCCTAAACCCTAAGCCCTAAGCCCTAAGCCACGGTTTGCGGTTTGGGGTCAAGGGAGCCCTATAACCCTAAACGCGGTTCAGGGTTTAGGGTTTCGGGCTTAAGGCTTAAGGTTTAACTAGGTTTTAGGGTTTCGCTCCTAACCCCCCGAACCCCATTCCAACAAAGAGAAAACGCTTGAAGCCTAACCGCTCCCCCCCCCCCCCAACCGCCCTCAACCACGAGTTTTTGCGCAACTTCCGGCTACTTCCAAAAGTGCTGAACCCTCATTTCCTCAAATTGTTTAGGGTTTAGGGTTTGTGGTTTAGGGTTTAGGGTTTAGGGTTTAGGGTTTAGGGTTTAGGGTTTAGGGTTTAGGGTTTAGGGTTTAGGCTAAACCCCAGGCTACTTCCGGGACGACAGTGGCAAGACGGCCGCCGTTGGGCTGCCATCCATGCGGATTTCAGGTTTGAGGCCTTCACCCACAAAGGCCCTTTAGGGTTTAGGGTTTAGGTTTAGGGTTTAGGTATGGGGGTATTTAGTTGTTTTGGGGCGTTTAGTGT